CATGCCATGTCATGCCATACCATGCCATGTCATGCCATACCATGCCATACCATGCCTTACCATGCCATACTATACCATGCCATATCATATCATATCATAACATATCATATACCATGCCATCCCATCCCATACCATATCATGCCATGTCATGCCATACCATACCATGCCACACCATACCATGCCATGTCATGCCATACCATGCCATATCATATCATATCATATCATATCATATCATATCATATCATAACATATCATATACCTTGCCATACCATACCATATCATGCCATGTCATGCCATATCATATCATATCATATATCATATCATATCATATCATATCATATCATATCATATATCATATCATATCATATCATATCATGCCATACCATGCCATACCATACCATACCATACCATATCATACCATACCGGCTTTATTTAGATAGCACTTTAAACACCCACAGAACCCAAGTATATAATAAATATATAAGAATATATACTATATATTCTAATAGTATATAATAAGACATAATAAAATAATCATACAGTCAGATAATAAAAGTGATTAAAATGCTTTTAAAAAGTCACATAATAAAAGTTGTACACATACAGTACACATAATAAATACCATCATGAGTTACATGATGGTACAGCATCAAAGCACAAGAGGGGAAGGAGGAGCAGATTGTGGCTGCAATTGACATGTTAAAAAAAGTTAGTTTCAAATTCATCAACTAGTTGAAGTCATAATTATTCAACCAGCTTACACATCTTGAAATCATTGGAAGTCAGTCATTTACTATTCACTGACTTGGGGGTCTAATTTAGCGCATCACTAGACCCAATATATTTTCCTTCATCTAGCTGCTTAACATGATTGTTCTATGAATTTAACATGAATTATGAATTATATATGGTTATTGTAAATATATTAAGAACAATTTTTGACACAGATCCAGTTGGGCTTGCTGTTAATTAAAGCTGTTGACTGTAAGCAGTTTTGGAAGCCATCTTAGCTTCTTCATGAGGTCACAAATATAATAGGATGAGCCATGCACTCTAATTGTTCTATAGAACTATATGGGATGTACACAGACAGCCATAGCCAGCAAAACCATGCATCCCATGCTAAAATACCCTGAAACTAAGGTATTGATACTATTACACTGATATCATTCAATATCAATACTCATGACAGTATCGATATATCGATATATTGAATTGATCCGCCCACCACTGACAGTCTGTGACAAATCTAGTGAGACTCAAAGGTCTGCTCAAAAACGAGCCCAGCTGTCATAAATCTGTAATCAGGATGTTTGATAAGTTTTGAAAACAGACAGATCCTGCTTGAGTAACAGAAGACAACACTGACAATAAAACTAAATTAAATGAAGTGCACACTTGACCATAATATTTTTATCCTGCATTTATGGAAACGTTCTCAAAGAGATCCGTCTCAA